GTGTTTATCAGTTCATATATTTTCTACATGATCTACAGGAGTGTTAACGTTGGTGATTTCTTCATCTACATGTTTACAGACACGATATTGCTCTTGGCACTAAACTGATGCACTCATTAGACAAATCCTCTTACACATTAACGTGGACCAACCGGGGCAGTGCTCGGGAGCTAGCGTTAAATACAAACGTTGATTAATCGTTGCTCACTCTTTTTTTGCGATTAAGCCGCCGCCTATACGTGTGGCTGGTTTGTGGATTTAACACACAAATCTCAGATTTTCATTTCAGTGCTTGAATCATGCCTCCCACCACAGAGCTGATGCTAATCTAACGGTAGCCTCTTCACGGAGTCGTTCAATGACCACTCAGCTAGCCAGGCTAACACCGCTGACGTTAGCCACTACGTTAGTTAAGCCATGCGGTGCACCTGGTGTCATGCTAACAGCAAAAGTAACCGTTATTTTCAGCAAATGCCGGGACATCGCTTTCAGCTGTATTAACTGTCAATGTATATTTCCTTCTTTTGCTCAAGTCTACAAGGTTCAAGCTAGGTCACGAGTCACGGTTAGCTCACAGTTCATGGAGGCAAGGCCAACCTCCCGCCTTTGCAAAAGCATGTTGTCAGACGGCTAACGTTAGCTAGCTAAGCAGGTTGTACGTTGCTATCGCACTTTCCCTCCGCCGCACCCTCACGTTTACTTTACACAACTTACATGTCTCGACGTGAATTGAGTTTCTTCTTCGCGGATAAAACAGCCTCCTCAGAAGAAAGGTAATGCCTGCAGAAAGAAGGAGTGCTGCCCACAAACAAGCAGTGCAAACGCCTCTAGCCTTTGGACTCTACTCCGGATCTTCTTGCGTATCCCAGGACGAGAATGGCAGTAGTGACGCAGATGCAGCGTAGTAGACGTTTCTAGAGTTTTCAGCCACAGCTGCGGGTGATGTGAAGGAGGCACCGTGAAATCTGATGTGGATCTAGTTTAATGTGATTTGCTTTGGTTTCCGTACCACCCAGTACGATCACCCAAAATATCCGTGATCATGAGTGAAGAATTTACAGATGGAAATGGTAGGATATAAGGTTAGAGGGAAATACGCATATTTACACGGTAGTTTGCAGGCACTATCTGAATAGGTGCGGTTACACATAGCACAAATAATAACACAAAAGAATGGAGGACAGAATATTAAAGATGAGATAAGCCTTTATTGATCCCCAGAAGGAAAAAATAGGTACAGCAACACAGGGACAGAAATAAATTCAGATATATTGAGGAGATAAAAACAACAAGAGCACATAAAACTAAATTAAGAATAGAAATAAAATTTTAAAAAAATAAATAAAGAAGAGGGCAGTACAACAAATCAAGCACATTTATGTTAACATAATTTTATTTACTTGTTTACCATAAAACTTCAATTAGTAGCCTGGGCTATTATTTGCTTAAGTCATTAAACTCAACAGCCTTATATTAAGAACAGGTGTCTATATGGGACAGGCCTTTAATTCAGGAAATACAATCAAATTGTTTATTTAAACCAGTACGAATATTACTTGTATAAAAATGATGCTTTGAATAACATGGCAGTTATCTTATGACATTTGTTTCACAGCACCTGAGGAGGCCACCATTTTAATTCTGTTATAACAATATTCATAACTCTGACTAATTGTTATGAAAACACCTTTGATTTTATGACAGCTTCAGAGTAAGGAAGTCACCAAGTATTTTTTCATCATGCCAGTAAATCTGAATGAATTAGTCTTCTCTAGCGCTCATGGTTTCAGTAAAATTAAATCAACCGAGCTAATAATGTGTAGCATCTTCACATTGACAAAAGTTTTAAAATTTATAATTGTATGTGTGGTCAAAGCAGCTAACCAATGTCAGCTCAAGTGGGTAGTCAACAATCCAGTTTTATACATCCAAAAAACTTCAATAAAAATAATCTGCATGGCAAGCAGACCAGGCATCTAATTGAGACAGGCCTTTATTTGTTAAAATGTGTAGCCACCTGGGGCTAGTAAAGGGGACTGGGTGTTTAATTGGGACTAGGCTTTTAATTGAAGTTTTACAGTATCTGACGTGGACAAATCCATAAGACATAACTTCATATGAAAAATACAAAGTAGATGCAATGCATACAGGCTTTAAGATTACTTAGCATGGAGTAATTTCATGCAATTATACAACACAACATATACAGTAAAATACGAGCAAAGACCAAGTCAAAGAAAAGACCACAAGACAAAAAATAAATAAATAATTAAAAGCATCAATGATGAAAAGAAACTGTTAAAATATAGAACACTAATCAGGTAAAACAGGGAGACCTAAAAGTAAAATATGACACAGTTAAAAATTTAAACGTTCCTATGGATAAAAATGAGAGTGTAATCCAATCACTAGACCGAGTTTGGTACGAGCCCATACTAAAAAAAGGTATTGAACGTTTAGCATACAAATTACAGTGATGGGTGTTATAGATATTGCCAGTGATGTGAAAACAGCCCTCTAGTGTCAAACATCTGAGTCAACAATAAGCGAACATGTTTTTGGGTGGAGGGTGGCTATAAACTTTGTCCTCAGATTTATGGTGTTTATGCTTTTCATTCTCTCAGCAGTTGTGGCGGTCACATTTTAAAAGTGTATGTGTCTTTACAGTCACTGTTGTAGCTCCATTATCCATCTGTTCAAAACCAGGTAATGCCACAATAAAAAGGACAGGTGGGCAGAGAGGTATTTAGTTAGTTGCAATCTACAACGTCACCACTAGATGCTGCTAAATCCTCCACACTGCTGTTTCAACTTATTCAATTAAAAATTAAGTTATATTTTTTGTTCTCCCCTGACAACATGTGTCCAGCTGCGGGTGAGCACAGACTGTGACTGCTTGCATACCTGTGGCATCTCCAAAGAGGCCAGATTTTGCTAGGGTGTGGCATGTAGCAGCTCCCTACACAACCACACAGGTGTTTTCAGTTTTTTTTACTTTCTGATTGGGTGGACGTTCAGTGGCGCCATGCTGGGAGTTTGACGAGGTAATTAAACTCCAAACAACAGTAGTTATAAAACTCATAACCATACAAGCTGTCACACCTTAACAAGTGCAACAAAACCACATTCAAAGAGGCAACCAACATAATAAGGATGGGCGTGTAGGGCCTCTGAAGTGTCTTTAAAGGGCTTATATGAGTCATCAGCCTGCCAAAACAGTGGGAGTGTCTTCTGTAGGTCTCGAAGGAGCTTTGTCAAACCTGATAGAGCAACTTAAGTAATATCACCTTAGTTCTGTTTATTTCCTGTCAGTTACTGTATTAACAACCTTTCCAACAGGATGTACAAAGGGACCAAATTAGAATGTTCATGTTGTCACCTCAGTAAAGGTCTATCTTAACATGGACTTAGGGATTGCAAATTCTAACTGAAAGCCAGTTGGGGGTGTGGAGGTTGAAATGGTTGCATCATAGGAAGTGTAGGATCCGATTTCTTTAATTAGCTCAACCCATACTATGGACCAAAAGTCAGGGGATTTTGGGCCCTGCTGCATCACTGCTGGAAATATGTTTCTATGTCTCACTGAGTGACTCAACATCAGAGAATTGTGATACAAAATGGAGTTCTGAGTATTCATTCATACAGTCTGCTTACAATGCAGCCAACACTGAAATGGCTGACCATCCTCATTCCTTCCTCTTAATTAGGTAATTGAGCTTTGGCATTTATTTGGGTCTTGATAGAGGGGCAAATTGGCATCTTTTTGTGAACAAAGTTTGGTTTACATTCAGTTAACTCACCAGAATGCATTAATTATATATACTTGATTAATTTTTGTGGTCAAAAGGACATGCTGAATTGCAGCAGCCCGGGTTCGACTCAGGCCTGTGGCCCTTTGCCGCATGTCAATCCCTCTCTCCCCCCTTCTCGCTTGGCTTTCCTATCAATTAAAGGCAAAAATGCCCCCCAAAAAATCTTTAAAAAAAAAAGCTGAATCTTATTTCCTTCCTCATAAATATATTTTAAAACCAGCACTTTTTACATGCTTGTTCACCAGCTTGTAGTCCTCTTCTTCACTGTCTTTACTGACACATGGCTGCCTATCATGGGGTGTTGCAGCCACCTAGTGATCAGTGGAGTATTGTGACACCATGGATAGGACTGTGTAAGTGTCAAACACGTGCATACACGCCCAGAAAGTAAACCAGACAGACCAACTCATAAAAACAGCTGAATAGGCCACTGGAGGTCAAACTCCACAGGAAACCCTTAAGTACAACTTTGAGGTATTCATACTTTAGTTGAGTATTTCCATTCAATGCTACTTTATATTTCTTCTGCACTATATTTCAGGGGTAAATCTTGTTCCTCCACTATTTATCTGACAACTGTAGTTACCAATTACTTTTCAGATAAAGACTGACATAAAAAAACCCATATATAATACAACAGAATAAATTATTGGGTCTCATTCCCAACCCTTATTAGCTTGTGACCTCTGAAAAACTGTCTAGCTGAAGCTGCTCAACACATTTCAGGTTTGTCTTAAAGCAGCTTTAACAATGATCTCTCCTAAAAACTTTAGTTTTATATTTTGACAAAAAACTAATCAACTCTGGATGAGAAAAACGTCTATTTACCTCTGCCCAGTGCGCTTATGGTCAAGTTTAATTCAACGCAATAAGCCTTGTCACCCACATGCAGTTTTAAATTTATATTTGACACAGTTAAGCACTGTCACAGACTTAAATCTCAGTTTTAGTCTGAACCCTTGGTCTTCGTATGAGCTGTTGATCCAGTTCTGCGACCAGTTATTAGAAATATGTGAGAACAGAAAATAGATGGAATTATTTATATTAGAAATCAACATTTCTAGTGATTTCAGTCTCTCGTTTACAGATACCTGCCGTACTCCAGCCTGGACCAGGCTTCAAATAAATCCCAAACCAAACCATAACAACATGCCCCCCATTTTCCCAATGAAGTGCAGAAACATCAAATTTTCATTTTATCAAGCCACAACTTTATTTCCATCTTGGGTATAAATTGTATAAATGAGCTTAAATCAGCAACCTTTCTTCAACCCTTTGTTGCCAGGGTCCCCCTTACATTGTCAACTCCTGCAAAAAGGAAGAAAATATATTGTCAACATGTGTTTTAATTAGTTTTTCCCACACTTAAAAGCATTTCTCTTCTCAGGACAGAAATGTTGGCTTCAGTGAACTCAGAAGAACGAAAGTCACTGTGTTAATCATCACTGAAGAGTTTATCTACAGAGATCTGAGCAAACATTTAGAAAATTACTGAAAACTTACCATAATAGCATTGACAATGTCGTTGTTGTTGTTTTTCAGGGCGCGTACAGCCTTCGCCCGCGACACGTTGGCTTGTGACATGACGAGTTCAATATCCTTGACCTCAACTCCGGTCTCATCAACCTATAAAAGTAGTAAGGGCAATAGTTTGTTATATGATACGATAAAACAAAGAGTGCATATCCATTATGTGTCCATCTTCACTTGAACAGAACTGCATCTTACCTCTTCTTCTTCGCTCTCCTCCTGTACTGTTGGCGTCTGTGTGTTTTCCTGGATGTTTGATACGGCTTCTCCCTGTACCTTGAACTTTTCTGCGGCAGCCAGCTGGGCTTGCTGGGACAGATCTTCGATCTAGAGAACAAAGAGTGAAATGAGATATCAATACAACTGTATTAGGCAGAAAATTGTCAGACAGGAGCCTTTAAACCAGCAGGACAAGTGTAATCATTAGACTTGAAGACTAAGGCCCCATCCACACTACATTTCTGTTTTGTCTGGTGTCCACACCATGGGTATTTAGAAGCCCTAATATGGAGACCTTTTAAAATGCCAATATAGTTTAAAAACTCTGGGGCTGTGTTTTACTTTGGACAGGCGGAAACAGACACTTTTGAGAACAAAGGCAAAGAAACCCTCATTTGCTTCTGGATTGGGTTTTATCAGTCAGTACGCATCCAGTACTACATACCTTAGCTTCACCGAAGACGATGTATGTGTCTGATGCAGGGCTCTTGTAGACGTCTGGTTTGGTGATGACAAACAGGATGTTCTTTGACTTGCGAATGGTGACCCTGGTGACCCCTGTTACCTGCCTGAGACCAAGCTTTGACATTGCCTGCAAGAAAGAAGTCATTTTTAAATAAATGTGGCCTTCACAAAGAAAGCAGAAAAGTGCCAGTTACATAAATCAAACACTGTGGGGTCATTACCTTTCGTGCCTTTTTTTCACTGCGGCTCTGTTTGGCTTTGCTGACAGGTTCCTCGTCTATTTCGGCAGCTGCTGCAAGCTGTGACGGACAGAATATCCATCCACAATTAATATCAAGTAGTAAATGTAAACCGAGGAATTAGGCGAGTTTTATGTAATGGTAGTCATTGTGTTAACACTTTCTCTTCTCAGGACAGAAAGAATGGCTTCAGGAGGCTCAGAAGAACGAAAGTCACTGTATTAATCATCACCGAAGAGTCAAGGACAGTATCTGTTCAAAGTGTTTTACATTATGGACACAATATTAAAGACCAGACTGAACTCTCACCTGAGCTTGCTGTGTCTGTGTCTGTGCAGAGTCCTGTTCCTCCAGCTCAGGGACTGAGTCATCGCTGTCTGACTCAGTACCGGATCCTACAGAGACCACCGACAGAGACCAAAATTTAGTTACAACATTCCAACTATGAATATAAGCAACAATACTTGCAAGTCATTGTGCATCAATCCTGGGGAATAAAATAGGAAGGTTAATAATTATCCAGAATACAGAATACATTTGTTGTTATCTGAAATGAACAGACACCCACCTAACATACTGAAAATATTCATGAACTTGATTTTGCAAGTGTCACTGTGATTGGAGCTACTTGACTTTAAATATTAAATAATGTGTACTCTTCAGTTTGTTAGACGTTGCCTTCCTATCCAATACCACATCTTCACTGACGAAATAAAACATGACTGATGGTATGCAACAACAGAACTGACTGTCTCCAATAAGAAAAGCATCCAAGCCAACAACTAGGTAGCATCTTTAAGAAAGGATAGTTGAAAGTTTTTAATAGAACGACATATCTAAGCATCTGAGCAGTTCCCAAACAACCCAGTGACAGTTGGAAAAATAGATGATACAAAAAGAAAGAAAGAAAGAAGAAAATACCCTTGTCGTTCTTGATCACAGGCTCCACCTTGACTGGGGTTTTAGCGGGCGTGGGGGCAGGTTTGGGTGGTGAGATGGGCTCAGAGGGAGCTGTGCTGATTACTACAGGTTTAACAGGAGCTGGTTTTGCGACTGCCTCAGCAAATGTGAGTTTGTGGGGAGGTGGGGCAGGAACAGCAGACTCAACTGGAGCGGGTTTTAAGGGAGTAGATGAGGGCTCAGCTGCTGGTTTGGCAGGCTTGGGGACCTCAGCAGGTGCCTCCTTAACCTCAGCCAATTTGGCCTCAGCAGCTGGTTTAGCAGGTTCAACTGGAGGAAGTGTGGCCTCAACAGCTGGCGGTTTGGCCTCAGCAGCTGGCTTAGCAGCTTCAACTGGAGCAGGCTTGGCCTCAGCAGCTGGCTTAGCAGCTTCAACTGGAGCAGGCTTGGCAGCCTCAACAGGAGCAGGCTTGGCCTCAGCAGCTGGTTTAGCAGCCTCAACAGGAGCAGGTGTGGCCTCAATAACTGGTTTAGCAGCCTCAACTGGAGCAGGTTTGGCCTCAGTGGCTGGCTTAGCAGCCTCAACAGGAGCAGGTTTGGCTTCAGCAGCTGGCTTAACCTCAATAGGAGCAGGTTTGGCCTCAGCAGCTAGCTTAACTTCAACCGGAGCAGGCTTGGCCTCAACAGCTTCAACTGGTGTAGGTTTGGCTTCAGCAGCAGGCTTGATAATCTCAATGGGAGCAGGTTTGCTTGGGGGGGCCTCCATAATGGCCTCAATTTTGGCTGGGGACATTTTAGGAGCTTCAATGGGAGCTGGTTTAGCGGCCTCAACAGGCACAGACTTGGGCTCTACAGAGGGTACTGGTTCTGGCATTTTAACTGGTTTCTCAGGTGGGATGAGGGGAGGCAGATCATCATCAGTAGCTGCAATAACAGGAGCAGCTTTCGGTGAAGATGCCTTAAATTCAAATGACGAGGGAGGGCTGGAGGCAAGAGTATCTGAAAATGAAACTGGAGCTGCCACAGCAGGTTTTGAGGTAACTTTAAAAGCAGCTGGAGCTGCAATAGGCTTTGCAGCGGCTGGGAAGGGTTTGCTTGGCTCAACTGGAGCTGGTTTAGCTTCAACTACAGCTTGCTTGGGGATGGCCTCTACTGGTTTTATATTTTCAGGTGTGACCTGGCACTCCACAGGAGCAGGCACAAATGCAACAGGTTTGGCTTCAACTACAGTTTGAATGGGGACAGCCTCTATTGGTTTTTCGTGTTCTGGTATGACCTTGCACTCAACAGGGGCAGGGGCAGGCACAAATGCCTCTCCTTTCTTAACTTTTCCCTGTTTGCCAGCCTTGACAACTTTTGGGGTGAAGCGGTGAGCATGACCAGGAGAACTGCCAGGTGAGGCAGCTAGGGGAGATGGCACAGGGGATACAGGCGACAAAGGCGACATGGGGGTATTGGAGGAAGCAGATTTAGGTGAGGTGGGAGAAGCGGAGGAGGCAGACATTGAGGATCGTTTTCTTCTGCCAGGGACAGCCTTTGGGGCAGAGGCACCCTGTGCACTCTTGGCATCTTTGCCTTTAGGCTTTGCAGGGCCAGAAGCTGCCTGAGGTTTCTGGGAGGTAGCTGGGGCAGGAGGTGTAGCTGAACAGAGAAATCGATCTTTAAAATCATTTGTTGGGAAGAGGGGATGTCTCACTCATGCGGGTTAAATGATCACAAACCGAGACGCATTCTTCTTGCTTTGGTTAGGAAAAGGACACACCTGCCTAACTTGAGTTTGATTCAAAATGCCACTCAGAAGTACTCACTTCCACACAGAAAACCACTCTATATTTAGTAAGGATGCACTTAGGACAAAAAAGGAAAACCATATTTGCAATGCACATCACATCACCACACCATGATGAAATACTGCACTTGCACATAGCAAGTGTATAAACACATCTAAATAAACAAGCTATTGCACCACCCAACTGGTGCTTCAAGGTAGATTTAACCAATACCTGGCCTATTAAATGATTTAAGTAGATAGTGAATCCTATGCACTTAAACACAAATACAATTAGGCATTTCCTCTTAAGTACTGTCTAAATCAAAATGTATGAGAATGGATGAAAGTTAAATTTTGTCAAAGTAGTTCCTGGCCTTGTTTTATTAGTGTGAAATGCAGAGAGCAAATAGCTACCCCTTTAGCAACAAATTTAGCATTTCTGATGTTCAATATAGAGCTTTCAATGAGCCATGACCCACCCTTGCAAAAACCACTGTCACAGAGGACGCAGAAGAATTGAACCTTTGTTCATTTGTAGTTTTAACACTCATATTACCCCCTGAGAGAAAAATATGCTCAACCCGATCACAAAGGTCATTTCAAAAGATCGCAACATCAAGCCGGGGGAAGGGCCTGCTTTTCATGATAAACCAACCTGACAGGTGGCGAGTGGAAAGAGATGGGCCTTCACATTTGGAGGACTCCTTTGACTGAATGGCTTTGGAGACGAGTGTAACAGCTTCTTTAATATCAGGATCTTCATTTTGAGTGGCCACGTCTACGTTCACGTCACCAGGCAATGCTTCCTCTTGAGGTGCATCCTGGCTAAGATTCTTCGAGTCTTCTTCCTCAGTCTTTGGGGCATCGGTTGTTGTGACATCTTCACTGTTTACACTGACGTCTTCAGGAGCAGATGGCTTCAGATCACTGGGAATTTCTTCTGCCACTGCATCGGGCTTGTCTCCAGAGACCTCTGCTTCAACAGAAATCTGCTCCACCTCTTGGCTGACCGTTTCTTCAGCACAAACAACAGCCTCCTGACTAAGGACCTCTGCAGTTAGAGCCGCTTCTTCAAGAGCATGTGGCTCTTCTGAGGGAGCACTGGGAGTCTCAGCAGAAGGCACAGATTCTTCAGGAACTGGTAAGTCAGCTGGTGCCTCTGTTGCAGCCTCTGCTGGGTCAGCAGTCGCCTCTTGCTGCGTGACAGGTGTTTCCGCCAAACCAGTCTCGTCAGTTTGCTCGGTCACTTTTTGAGTTTCTTGAGTTGCAGCTACGCCATTTGCTTGATCAACAGTAGTCTGAATGCTAGCTTCTTCTGGGGAGCCTGTCTCTGGATCGGGAACAGAGGTTTCTGGAGCATTCTCCAGTGGGACTGGCTTGCCCACAGGGATGGCCATCTCAGGAACGGCCGTCTCAGGGGGAGCAGAAGAATTCAATACTCCAGCAGCTGATTAAGGAAAGGCAACAGGAGTGACGGGAGGGAAAGCAATCACAGTAGTTGTTTCGGGAGCCATTTAACTTCAACGCAAATTTCAAGAGCCTCATGAAGACACCGTGAAGTGAAAAAGAAATGTGCCCAACACGTGAACAAGAACGATGAGATTTGTGAGAAGTTAATTGACGTGTTATTGGCTCTTGGTTTGCCAAAGTATAAAAAAGGGAGGTGTTAGGTGCAGTAGGTTAAAAGAAAAAAAATATTCCCATGTCCCAAACTCCATGCAGAGTTTAAATGTGAGACAAAAACACCAGACGATCTATGCACAACTATGCATGAAAATAAGCTGAATTCTGAACAGTTAACATTTTACTGCAGTGAAGACATAACACTAATGCAAACACAACCAGCGTGACAGTCTTCAACTAACATGAACAACAGACAAAGTAATTACTCGCTTTATTAACCAGTTATTTTTATCAAAAGAGCACCATGTACAGTATTATGACTTAAACCTAATCTGTTATAACATAACTATATTTTGATACCAATATAACAATGCAAACTGTTAAACACATTTACTGCCCTGAAAACAATATGTTTAGTTTTTATTAATTAGCTACAAAGGGAAATAACTATGCTACATAAAGTTTTAAAGTCAGACAAAAATAAATATGCAACAAAGAATGATCCGTGCCATCGCTAACATGGTTACTTTCAATCTACAAAGTTGATTTTCAAGGCATTTATTGTGCACAGGGAGAACTACACACAACACCATGCATTGTGTGCTAAATCCAGTTGTCAGTGCAAGTCACCACACACCATTGTGAGTTTGTGTAAATAAAAAGAGGGGTCCTGGATTACTCTTTTCAAACTGAGCTCGGCAATATCCCCACAGCCGATCCATCAGTGGGAAAACTGTTACAAATGTCCCAACACATGGCCAGTGACAGCCAAAATAACCACCTGTCAGCTGTTACATCAACTCAGTGTCCAACCAGCTGAGTCAACTCCCTTGACAAAATAAACATCCAATGATGAAATATTGTTCCCGTGACCTATTCCATGTACCTCCCATACATGGCCATTTGGTAAACAATTCACCCAGTCTGTGAGTTCCAGGACCCCATTGTTAAATATGCATTCTTGCATGCACATTTATAGAACAGTTAAAGTATACAAACCGGTCTCCACTTGAGGCTGCTGCATCTCCTGCTCGGTGACTGGGACCGTTTCTGTGGCTTCACCAGGCATGGTTGCTGGGGAGGAAATGAAACTTCATTAGCTCAAACCAAGTCTTAATAACTGGGTCACTCATGTTATGTGTGTATATAT